TCGCAGGCAGCGAGGCGGGAGCGGCCCCGTTCGCCCGGAGAGCGCGGGTTTGCGGCGCTGGCGAGGAGCAATCCCTGCTCCTGCCTTAAACGCGGCTCTTCTCTACCTGCAGGGTTTTGGAGAACCGCCGTCGAGGCCTCGCGGGAAGGCGGCCACCTCCAGAGCCCAGGGAGGGTCAGCGCGGCAGCAGTGAGTTATTTCTTCATTTCGAGTCATCTCAGTGATGGGCACGTGCGTGTTGCGTAAGGACGTGGCCCTGCACACAGCGCTGGCTTCCAGCGTGTGCCCCTTCGTGCATCACTGCTTGATAGCTCAGGGGGTATCTGCAGGGCTTTGGCCTGCCTTTCAGATTGATATCTCTAACGTGTAAGAGGATTTCAGCCTTTATAAGTAGCATGTTCCTTACAAGTTCTGATTTCTGGATATTTGATGGCTGGTCTTTTTCATCTCAGTCTGCTTGCTCTTCCGTCTTATTCTTTCCTTCTGTCATTATATGGAAACATATTTTTTACCATATGCACAAAGCAAGAAAGGTTCCTGCTACTCAAACCCTACATGTAGTACTCTTTAAAGTGTATCATAAAGAGTGTGCCTTTAACAGTATGAGCTGAGGTATGACGAAGTCAAAGCTATAAGATTAATTTTGTGAAACTTGCCATTCTGTGATATTACTTGCAAACATTTAAAATACATTTTTCATTGTCTTTGTGGAAGCGTTTGGCTTTCTCTTTCTGTTATGAATGCTGAATCCTGTGATGGAACTTCTTCTGAGCTCTAAGCTCAGAAGCTAAGCAAATGTCTAAGGAAATCCTTCAGGAGTGAAGTTACTGTAATTTTGCAATGACTTTTGCTTCCCTTAGGGTTTTTGTTAGGAGTCCCCCATTAGATCTCAATGTCAGTAGCAATATGGACACAAACCCATAACTCTTCCTTAGACACCTTCATTTTTCTCTGTATGACTTAGTTTGGGTAAAGAGTAAAGAGCTTTTTACATTAAAGGTAGGAGAAGTCAATCTGTTGTTATGGAAAAGTCTCAGCTGACAGTGGTAGTGGTAGTCCCTTGAATAGTCGGGATACCAGTAGATTTTTTTGTTTGTTTGCTTCAGCTGACCAATAGGAATGCTAAGATATGGCGTAACTGATACTGTGTTGGAGAACAGGCTCATATAAGAAGGCTGATCGAGATGGAATGACTGGCATCTGTTCCTGAAATGGGCAATATCCCGAAAAGTGTTGCTAATGTGTCATGTGAGTGTTGGAAGGAAAACTAATGCGTGTGCTACTTGTTTGCTCAGGAGGGGACCCAGAAGTGGTTCCTGTGACTCTTTAGAATGGAAATGTTGCTTTTCTTGTCTTCTTTAAAATAGATTCAATTAAAACGCCCACCTTAAGTCATCCAGCGTGAAAAAACAGAGAACGGTGGTTGTTTTGAATGCTGGAATCTGGGTGTGACTAGACTCTTCCACTTGTGAGGCTGAGGCACATGCTGTAGTCAAACTCAGGTGGGATCAAACGATTGTCATGTCTCATTCCTGGGAGACACTGACCTGAATGATCAGGAATCCGTTTTCAATTGAGTTAATCCGGGCACAGAAGGCCTAGTCTTTACCATGTGTCTGGAGTACAGCTCAAGAGTATGCGAGTCATTCAGCTACAATACTTCTGTCTGGAATTGTGCTTTGGAATACATTTTAATTTTATTGATTTAATTAATTTTTATATATATGTTTAGTTTTTTTTTTTCTCCGAAAGTGAATGGGAAGGTAGCTGAACAAACCAGTCACTTGTTAGCAGAACAGTGTCACAGGAAGATTGAGCAGTAGGAAAGACTTAGGTCTGTGGAGGCCTGTCATGAGAATAGTAGTCTGGTATGTTTTGTTAGTAGATTACGAGCTTCAAGGATGGCAGTGCAGGTGTTCTTTCAGCAGACAAGGAGTAAAAGCAACTGGCTGCTATGTGACCGAGAGCTGGTTGGATAGTTTTAGTATAAGACTTTAGATTACTGTTTTATTCTGGAACAGTACAGTATATAAATTTCATCTTATGTTTAGTAAAGGGATTTTGACTTTGATTTTGATGTTTGATTCGGGACTTTGATGTTTGACTCGGGACTTCCGTCTTTGATTCAATACACTGAAGTTCGTTCCTTCACAAGCTGCAACATAGGTCAGTTCTTTTTTTCTTAAGTTTCGACACATTGGCTTTGGGTATTACTTACTGCCTCTGATACGTGCTTGTATAAGAGACAGTTAATACCATAACTTTCACTACATCCTAGCTTTAATATCCCCCATGTTATCCTGCCATCTATGAAGAGTCTGGGAAACTCAGAGCTGCAGCAGCTTTCAAGTGCCCCTAGACACATGCAGTTTGGCTTCCTTTCGGAGCAGGACTGTTGTTGTCACCATGAGGTGAGGTCAGGCATAGCTTGTCCAGCTGAGTCTCGCAGATCTCCAGGCGTTTATGGAAGATTAGATCTATTGAAGTTCATTAAATTTAAATGCCATGCTTATTAGGAAGTCCTTGAACAACAGCTTTGTGGAGAATGGGAGAGTGTTCTTTGGAAATCTCACTAAAAAGACTACACTGTTCTGGTGATCTTCCCTGTGTATCTACTGAGGTCCCTGCCAAGAGACAGGGCACTGCAGTCAGTCCCATTGAACATTTTTTTTGACCTGTTAAGGCTGTTCTTAGAGCAGTGTCTGCATAGAATAGGAGCTTTTTCAAAAATGAAAAGCATGGCGGGGGGGGGAAGAAAAGCTTTGTATGTTTTTCTCTGACTTCTGTTGACTTGGGTCTGCCAGGTGATTATTTTGAAATAAGATAATGAAAAACTTTCTCATGGTTTTCATGCTTGTATTGTGCTGACTTTTAAGCCATCTGATGAGAACCGTGCTTGGTTAGTGTATCAACAACCTAAATATTTAGTAGCAACACCATTCCCCACACAAAAAAACCCTGCTTTTCCCTTTCCACCCCTGCCAAAAAAGAAAAAAAACAAAACAAAAAGGGTCTTTTTTTTTTTTCCCCTGCATCAGCTTGGAATGTATCCGAGAAATAATCTCATCTGACGAGCAGAGTCTTTTTTGGTGTAAAATCAGTCATTAATGAATGTTCCATAATTCATGTTTTTTTCTCAAATGAGCGTGTCCTTGAAATGGATCTTCAGCAAATATCTGGTATGTGCTGCTGATTCACTGTTGATATCTATGCAGTTTTTTTACATGGCAACTCATTATTTGAAGAACACTGTTTAGCTGAAGGCCTAAAATTACCTACTTATCTGAGGCTGAAGTTACTGTTTTGTGTGTGTGTGTGTGTGTCCCTTCCTTTTTCCCTTTCTTTTTTTTTTGGACACATACACATGGTTTAGAGGTTTGCCTTGACTTTTGGAAGATCTCTTCTTGAGGTTTCATCTAGTAATTAGGACTGATGGTCTGTGTTCTTTTTATAAAAAAAAAAAAATAAGTGCTTCAGAATGACACTTGGTAAGATCTTGTTTCATGGTATATGTATACTTTTATTTTGCAAAGGAAACTTTGACTTTTGAAGAGAAATAAAAGAAATCAATACTAAGTTCTTAATGGAATCACTACAAGTTCACTTATTTTTCTGGCTTCTTGCTAGATAATTTGCCCCATATGGTAAACCAGTCTCAATTTGGCTTTATAGTCTGAAATGATCTCTTGTTTCTTGGAAAATAGTTTCTTAAGAAGAAAACTCAGATTGCATGTTCAAATTTCTATAAAAGCTTCATCATTTTAAGAAATTTAGAGAATCTGCGAATTGTTAAAGTTAGGAATGACTGATACAAGTAGAAAAGACAGAAGAAACTGAAGGTAGATATACTCTTACTCTCCAACAAAATTTAGAGGTGAATATATATCAGGAAGTCAAGGATAGGGTTGAATTACTTGGCATTTAAATTATTGCCATTATTACTACTATTTAGTAGCTAGTAGATTTGAATATGCAGTCTTGTCCTTTTTCTTTTAATTTTAGAAGCTTCAATATTTAATCAATTTTGTTGCAGACGATTAGGGACTTTAAGTATCATGAGTTTTGTGTGTTTTAAAATTGTGTGGGGCTGCTGATCACAGCTTTCATCTTGCGGCTTGTTTTGATGTTAGGATGGTGTGTGTGGTCGGGCTTGGTTGTTTGTTTTATTCTGGTGATGATTGTGTTTTTTTTTTCTTTCCCTCTTAAAAACAAAGAAACCGAAATGTTGTATTTTTATGGGAATCAGGTTTAAATTGTTTGATTTCCTTATCACCCTGAAAATTTTCCAACTTGAATTTTTTTTTAAGTGCAAGTTGGAAAGACAAACTAACTTCTTTACTAGTAAACAGAAACGAATCTCTGGGCCTGTTTGTAGAATAGAACTAAGCTTACTTAGTTGTTTATTTAGAAAACTTAAAGTGAAGAAATAGTTTGTTTAACATTTAACATAGATCTTACACAAACTTATGCCAAGTTTACAAAGAAAAAGTTTTGTTTATTGTCAAACTTCATGGTTATTAATATATACTTTTCCGTTTGCCATGATGCTGTTTCTGCAGTACTGATAAATGTAATATCTGTTGCGTATCATCTGGAGAGCAATGTTTAGTTATGTGTTTAGAGTGTAAGAACATGTTTATGTTGGGAAAATAGGCATTTGTCATTCTCAGTTCATCTGAATTAACATTTTTGTATGCTGAAATAGATAAAGCTATAAATATGTTAAGAAAATTCAATTTGTTTTAGGAATAATTCTGAAACATTGCAGTTTGTCCTCTTTAAAATAGATAATTTCTATAGCACAAATTTACATATTTATCTGAAATGACAGTTTCTCTTTTTGGGAAAAATACAAAACTATTGATACTCTGCTCCTCTCCCTTTTCAGATAATCCCATGATTTGCCATGTTTTCAGCTGAAGTTGTAGTTCCTTGCAGTTTTGCTCCGTCTGCTGTCTCTCACAGGAGAACTAACCAATTTAAAAGCAGAATCAAATTATTTTTTGGAATTCCTCCAATTTAGTAAAGGCTCTTGTAATGATAGGCTTCTTGCTTGCTTTTTCTGCTGAGAAACCTCTGAGAGCAAAATAGTTTAATGACCCTCACAGCTCTACCGTAACAGTGTCTATGAGTGGGTGTGCTATCCTATCTTGCACTGTGTAATCTAATGAAAAATTAGCATGGAATATTTAAATAATGTGAATGAAAATATGTCTATGTTTTTTCTGGGGGAAAGGAACAGATTTTGTAAGTTCATCAAGTGCACTTGGTTTTATGTTCTTTGCAGGAATAGGGTCAATGCATCATTTCACAGGATTTAACTTTTTAATATTTGCTCTAATTACTGTTTCCTCCCTTTTAAAATGTTTTCAGACTTTCATGGATCTCAATAGTGCCAGCACTATTGTTCTGCGAGTCTTGACCCAAGCTACTAGTCAAGATACAGCCGTGCTGAAACCAGCTGAAGAACAACTAAAGCAGTGGGAGACACAGCCAGGTTTTTATTCAGTCTTGTTGGTAAGACACAGCAGGAAAGTGCTCTTACTTACTATTTGAATAATTCTGAGTGTGACTTGCTAGAATTTCCCTGAAACCTGAGTTCTAGCTGAGGTAAGCTGCAAGTACTTGTGGTCCAGCCACTGATATTCTTATGCCATGCTGTGAGGCATCACCATCCATGTGTTTCAATGCGGATTCTTTTCTAGTCACTCAGGAAATGCAGGAAATCCTACTTCCAGCAGCATGAATTGATGGGCCTCTAGTGCTAAGCCTGTTGATGGCCTGTTGTGAATTGTAGGTGACAGGAAGCCAAGATGACCCTTCGCATTTTCTACCTTGGTAGATTTTAACCTCACTGTATGTCTGAACCAGTTGTTCTTTATTGTGCAGGCAATGCATAACTGTTGTACAAGAAAAACTCCATGCTTTTTGATGATCAAGTTTGATCCTTGGTTGGAATTGCTTTCCTTTTTGTCACCAGAGAGATTCCCAGGGAGATGACTAGGTTGGTAGTAAGGTTTCTGAAAAAGTGAATACTTCCAAAGGAACTTCAGATGATGGAGTGAATCTATTAATATGGTGCTAGGTGATGGAAACAAACTCGAAAAAGCTGTTTAATGACATGTTCTGCTTTCCAGATCTGCCTCGTGTTGGAAAGGTTCAAGCGAGTTAGGGGATTTAGGGAAAAGTTGAAAAAAAAATCTGAACTTCAAAACTCAGTTCTGTCCCCTGCCTGTGCCAAAGAGTTTGTTTGCATCTGTTCATACTTTCTGCTGTGTGTATTTATGCGTATATGTTTACATATGCACACACATATATATATGTATCTTTTCAGATGTAGAAACTAATTTTAAAGAGTAAGCTATTCCTGTGGAATTGGAGTAAGTTTCTGTACGTGTTGCCCTTCTCTGATCTTTGAGTGTATCTTCATTTTTTTTTAGGTAGAGCTTCATGTAATGTTAGAGATGGGACAGTTTTTAGCATGAGTAGATTTTGGATTTTGCTTGGATTTTTCTTCAGTCCCGTGTCCAGGCGTTCTGTTTGTCGTCTAAGTTCAGCTGGAGATGTTTTGAGCAATAGCCATAATCAAAAGAAGTAGTTTTCCTGAGTTTTTGGTTAGGTATTTGCTAGTCTATGAAGCTTGTCTTTTCTCTGTGGGATGCAAGACTTCATGTTTTGTTATCTTCAGATTCCTTTGTTATTCTGCAATTCTGCCATTTTGAAGTGAAGGCTGCTTTGTACAGCTAATTCTACATGTCTTTAGTAACATACAGAAATCAAAGTCAGAGGAGCTAGGAATAATAATGAATAGTGCTGCTTAATGCAAATAGAATAGTGATGCTGAAGTTTTTACTAGCCAACTATCCCTCATGTAAAAAGAAGCATCTGTGCACAGCAATTATACTTAAACATCTAGCATAGTATGTATTAATTACATCTTGTAAATATTGCAAGTGTTTTTATTTACATCTTGTACAAGTTCAAGATGATTGAAAGATAATTAATGTTAGGCTGGAATCATAGGATGCTTAAGGTTGGAAGGGACCTCTAGAGATCATCTAGTCCAACCCCCTGCACACGCAGGGTCACCTAGAGCACGTGGCACAGGACTGCGTCCAAGCGGGTTTTGAAGATCTCCAGAGAAGGAGACTCCACAACCTCTCTGGGCAGTCTGTTCCAGTGCTCTATCACCCTCACTGTTAAGAATTTTTTTCATAAGTTCCTGTGGAATTTTTGATGCTTTAGTTTCTGGCTGTTTCCTCTGGTTTTATCAGTGGCCACTGCTGTAAAGAGGCCAGGACCGTCCTCCTCACTGCCTCCCTTGGGGTACTTATATACGCTGATCGGATGAATTAAAAAAAAATGCCCTGAACTTCTGTAACATCTTAACACTAAATAGGATAGAAGAACAGAATATGTCTTTATAACAGCTGCACAGGCAAGTTTGAGAAGTGCTGTGAAAGGTAGGAAGGTTCTTAGCATGTGGCAAAACAATGAACAACTCTCCAAAGCAAAAAAAAAAATACTCAGGTATTTGTGCAATGCTGTATTCTTGTGCGCTACAGGGTAATTTCTTTCTCTACTGACATTCCAGCTATATCATTAAAAAGTGCAACAACTGGCTGGTGCTAGTACCCGTTTATTGCCTTTTAAGCCAAAAAAGATCAGAAACATTAATCCTGTATTTTGGGTTTATTTTTCATAAGTTGAGTAGTTGAGCTAGTGGTAAGCATTTTTCTTTTTTCTAATTTTTAACGTGTCATTTAATTTGTCAAAATGCAGGTATTTGCATGCAGTAGCGTATGTATTAATATATTTATACAACTCTGTGGTACATGGAATAATTTTTAACATCTTACCTTCTTTTTAATAGAATATCTTTACAAACCATACCCTGGATGTGAATGTGAGATGGTTGGCAGTGCTGTACTTCAAGAATGGAATTGATCGGTATTGGAGACGGGTGGCACCACAGTAAGTTGGAAATTTCTTTCGTTTACCCAGTGGGAAAACAATGAATTGCTTGTTTGATAGAAGAGAACTTCCTTTGGAATTTATAGTGACATTAACGAAGCTTTTACGTCTCCTAGCATGTTATAAAGCTTTTAAGTCATTAATGAACCAGTCAGTTTTCGTGTTGTATTTTGCAGCTTTCTTCATCTTTCATTTTTAAGAAGAATATTATGAGTCTAAGTCATAGATTTTAAGATTTTGCCTTGCATTGCAAGGTTTTTGAAGATCTGCCAAATTCATACAACAAAAAGAAGGACAAGTGATGAAATTCTGCATCTGTGGGGCATTCCAAATTGACACTGCAGTACCCCATGATTATGTGAAGCACTGAAATGTTGCAGAGTCCAGATTAGTATCCAACTGCAATACATTTACCATCATTTGGTGTTTGAAAGAGAAAAATGTCTTGTGTGTGGAAGAAGGCGTGTTTATCTTTGGCCTTTCTTGTTAAAAGGAAGAGATGATGTTTAATTATTAAGTACCAGTAATTTAGACAGCATTAGTGAACCAATGAAAACACACTGTTTCAGTGCCTTATTTTTTTTAAATAAGCATCAATAACTCAGTAGAAAAATCCTTGGTTCATTTCTTGTAGAAGTAATGACTAAAATTTAGCTGTTTCATCTGATGTGAAATTGAATATGTGTTTCATGTTTTGTTAATTTTTGAAAATTTAATGTGATTAGAAAAGTAAACAAAAAAATCACTGGCTACTACTAAAGATTATGTGGAATAAATGCATACTAAATTTCCAGTACAAACCCACTTTGCCCCCTATTTCTAACTTCCTTTTACTTGTTTCTCATACATGACATCTTAAAAGTATCTTGTGCTCAAACAAATCACACCTGGTTAGAGGACTATGTTGAACACTTTGAGAAATGCTCCTTTTAATCTTTATTTTCTCCAGTTGTTCAGTGAAAGTGGATGCCATGATTTTGAAAGTTTCATGGTACAAGTTTTAATTTTTTGTTCTTGCAAAACTCTCAAAGCAACTTAGGTTGGCATATGTCTTTGATGCCCAAAGCTTGTTCTGATGCATATAGCCTGTTGGGTTGAGCATGTGTTGGATTTATTGGTGTGCCTGCTGCCTCTCAAAAGCAGTAACTGATTTTAGATATTTATGTTTTTCTTCTGGTAGGATGTTAGCGCAGACCGATTATCTCTAATCTACTGCTGATTTTCAGAGAACCTGTGTAAAAATCATCTTTGTCATTACTGCCCTTTGTTAAGTTTAGCTGAATTTGGACAGATACATTCAAGAATGAGAGTTGGAAAGGGCTCTCACGGACACATGGCATGTTCACATAGCCTTAATTCCTCAGCATATCAGGGCTAAAGATTGTTTACTGCCTACTACTTTTTAGAACTCTGTCTTGAGTATTTATATGTTTATGGAGAACTTTTAATCTCCATAACGTTTAATCTCCATAATCTCCAGAAACGTTCCCAGCAATTTCAATGTCTCAATTTTCCAAGTGTGTAAAAGTTGCTTTTAGCTGAGTCTAGCAGGTCTAGCTGTACCCTGGTTCTACTGAGCGTTGTGATGTTTTTCCTTCAGCTACTGCTTTTGCAAGATAGGAAAAGAATATTGGTTTGAGATAATGGATTATTTGGAGTTGGCACAGTAGTTATTTTTTCAGGCCTTTTTCAGGCAGAGTTCACCCTATTATTCTTCTTACGATTTTGAAGAACTTAATTGGTTTGTTTTAGAGAAGCAGCTTTTCTTGAATCTGAATGCTGTAAGAGTACTTTTTTTTTTTTTGCCTGAACTTGCTATTGATTTTGCTGAGAGTTACCATCAGTTGTTTTTTTGTGGGCTTTTTTCTTTGATCTGATAGTCATGTTAGTAACCTTAGGAATATCAAATCATATTTTTGTTTCCTCAGGCTTGGATTTCTTGTTTATAAAATAGTGGGGTTTTTTTAAAGGTCCATCTTTTTTTTTTTTTTTTCTTTTTTTAATTCTGAATTGCTGTTTTCCACATTCTGCAAACAGAGAAAATCAAATCAGACTCTGAAACTGCAGCTTGTGAAAGAGAAACTCAACAACTTCTCTACAAAGACCTGTCTTGCTTGATTTTTTTTTTTTTTTGATGAAGCTGAGTGTAAAGTAGAATTAACTCAGCCCTGGACAGACATTCTTCCTAACTTCTGCTCTGTAACTGTTGTATGCAATAATGTGCTCTTCTTAAAATGCCTTAAAGGAGGATAAAGATCCCGTTTTTTTGTGGCTGCATCTGCTATGAACTGCAGTGGGGGAATGTGTAACTTGAATTCAACAGCCAGCAGGTGTCACTGTTGTATTATCTGAGTGCTAGATTCCTCCTCCTCCTCCTCCTCCTGAGAACTTGGGATTCTTGAACACATTAGTCATTCATAAAGATGAAATCTTGCATCTGAATTAATGTTTTAATTGTTATCATCGTTACTGTTTGCAAACCTTAGCTTTGTTTATCATAAGCTTCTGTATCTGGGGAGCTCGTGCTGATGAGTCCATTTTCTTTTTCTTTCTTTTGGTTTTGTTAATAACTCAAAAGCTTAATAAAAACATTTATAGTAAGTAATGCAAAATTGTTGCTCTTAGGATATGCATGCCATATGATCGAAAGGAAAAATGTAATTAGGGCATGGGCTCTTGGAAGCTCACAGTGAATGTAAAAGAAATAGTATAATCAAACAACTTAAAAAATGTTTTGTGCTTTCTGTTTGTGCTTTCTGAGCATGTAGCACAAGTTACAGATAAAGTAATAGTAGCCTGCAAGTTTCAGAAATTACTCAGTCTGCCTGTCTGTTTAGAAAAGATATACTGCATTTTTTTCTAAGAAAATAAAATTTTATGTACATATGTTTCTATCTGTGCATACTTTTATATTGTCATTTGCTGGTTTCAGATTAGTAAGTAAAATAACTTTCTGAACAAAAGTTTTTACCATTGAAGACATTTTTGTTAATGCTAGCCCAAGTATTTTTAGACATAACTTAATTTCATGTAAAAATACTTTGGATCTTTATTCTTGGTTTCAAAAAAAAGATCTCAGCTCTGTTTCCTGCATGCTATAAGTTACCTTTGTAGGTTAGGTTTAGGCAGACAGTTTGAGGTCACTCAGGAATTGCCCCCTGCCTCCTCCCTCCCTGCAGGGTTCGTAAGAGAGATCTGCAGGGCTGAGATTTGGCAAATAGGGGAGGGGGAATTAGAAAAATTGCTACAAATATTTGATTTTAGGGTAAATCCTTTTTTTGTTATTTGTTTGTTGTTTGTTTTTTAATTGTTAATTTGATTTGAACCTTTAACACTTCCTAGATCAGTATAGTACCTGTGATTTTTAGGGAGCTTTAAGGATCATTTTAAACCCTGCTGTATAAAAGCAGTAGGTTAGTGTGTTAGATAACTGAGTACAGCAAGTGATTGTATTGATGTATTTAATTTTCTTAATTTGCAGCTATTAGACTTTGAAGTGTGATGATTGCATCTAAATCACTGCATTGTTAAGTAAAATAGCTTAATGTAAATAACTTTAATCGATTTAAGTATTTCCATGTTCCAGAGACAGGTTTTTAGGTGCTATCAGTAAATGAAAGTGGATTTTTTTTCCTGATAGTATAATCTATAAATATTGACAAATAATTTCTAAAAGTAGCCTGTTATATTCAGATCTGAAATAAATTACTTGGACCGCATGCTGTGTAAAGCAGAGCAAGAATAGTATGATACAGTAATCTACACTTTGATAAATTGCTGACTTAAAAGGAAATCTAAAGGTGGCTTAAAGCTGTATTTGAATGAAACTTTACCTTTATGGCTTAAAATTTGTGTTCCCAAGGGCCTCATAAGAAGAAGATACAAAACCCTCATGTTAAAAGGCCTCACATGTATTTGTCTTTGTTTCACTGTTCTGAATGTCTCTGAGATGGTGAAAAACAAAGGGAGTTCCCTTGATAGTTTATCAAACTGAAATACATTAGTTTCAAGAAAACTACCTAAAAGTAATCTTCATCCAAATACAGTCAAATGGAAATGATCATTCTAACTTTTGTGACAAAGCAGCATGTAATATGACTTAGTAGTTGGGTTTTGTGTAAAGTGAAATGATATTCTGAAAAGTATATCCTATTTTAACAGCGCCCTTTCTGAAGAAGAAAAATCTTCATTGCGTGCCGGACTTATTACTAACTTTAATGAGCCAGTGAATCAGGTTAGTGATAAATGATGAAGTATTGTACTCCTAAAAATGCTGCTGGTGTGCAATAAGTATGCAATTCAGTTTGTCTTTTCACACTTAATAATGACACACCTGACAGTGCAATTTATTTATTGCCTTTTAGACAGTTCTTTATGTTGAAGTGAAAACTTGTTGTCTTTTTTTTTTCTTTAGACCACTAATATATTGTAGATGAAACGAAATTCAAGTTGCTTAATCGAAGTTTTCTCGCTACTCCATTATTGTTGTATCAGCTTACCTGCTGATAGAGCAGTATGGTACATCGGACAGTACTGTAATTGACTTATAGTAATACAAATATAGGAGAAAAGCTTCTAAAAGCTAAAAACTATATACAGGACTAGCAGTACTAGGGGTATTATATATTCAGCTTTCTATATGCTTTAATAGAAAAAGTTGGAAAAGGTTGTTAAGTAAGAGTGGTACTGAAATATTTCATATTTGTTGATGTGATATCTAGAAAAATTGACTGCAGTTGTCTATATAAAATTTAAGCAATACAGTTTTATATTAAGTACTTAAATAAAATATTGCCATTAAATTTAAAAAGTGTTTTTTTTCCTATTATTTTGGTTGTTTGTATCAAATTTTAAATTAATTAAAACTCCCAAACTACCAATTCACATTTTATGCAAATTGCAAATTTTAGAAGTAGTTTTTCTAAAGTGGGTATTTCCTAATGATCTTTGACTTTGTGATACCTGTTTTTGGTGTATGTGTGTGTTTGTTTTTGTTCTGTTTTTCTTTTCTTTTTTTTTTTTTTCCTTTCTCTCTCTCTCTCTCTCTCTTTTTCTCTCTCTTTCTCTTCTCTCAGATAGCAACTCAGATCTCTGTGCTGATTGCTAAAGTTGCTAGGGTGGACTGCCCAAGGCAGTGGCCAGAACTTATTCCCACTCTTCTGGAATCTGTGAAAGTCCAAGATGACCTTCGACAACACAGAGCATTACTTACCTTCTATCATGTTACAAAGACCCTGGCATCTAAGCGACTTGCTGCAGATAGGAAACTCTTTCATGATGTAAGTAATGCAACGGGCAATATTGCAGAGTGCAAGGAAATAATTAATTTTGCTCATTTGCCTGTTGCCAGTGGTTTGCTATCAGCGAATGAATGAGAAGCATGTAGATTTTAATGTTTCCTTCTGAAACAGTGGTGATCTTTTGTTGAATATATGCACAATATGAAAAGTCATATAAAATGTTTTTGAGATCTTTATTGATTTTGCATGTAACTTGAGTGTTATTCGAATCATGGGTGTTTCGAAGTAGAGCTTCATGTACAGGCATTTTGGTTATGCACAATATATGCATGTCTACCTTATATTATCATGTCATACAGGAGATTATTTTATATGTGAATTTGCACTATTCTTAGAGGAATGGTTTTGATTCATAATTCCAAGTATTCTTTAAAAAAATGGGTTCTTGCTAAGATGAGGTAATTTTGGGGAAGACATGTTTGGATCAATAGAATTAAATACAACAGAGAAGCAATTTTTTTTTTTAAGCTTGCTGAGAGTGTTCACCATCCCATCATTCTGATCAAAAATAAATTAAAAAAAATATATATATTTGTCTCTGAAGTGAACTACTGGTAACCTAGCACCAAATAGGCTTTGTGTCTCTGTTCACAACCATTTGAGTCTGGCAGTCCTTTCAGTTTTCATCCCACCTTGTGGTTCGCTTATCCAGACCTTACCTCAGCAACCTCAAGGGAGGCAGTGAGGAGGATGGTGCTGGTCTCTTTTCCCTGGTGGCCACTGACAGAGCTAGAGGTAATGGTCACAAACTGAAGCACCAAAAGTTCCACATGAACTTAAGGAAAAAATTTTTAACAGTGAGGGTCATAGAGCGCTGGAACAGGCTGCCCAGAGAGGTTGTGGAGTCTCCTTCTCTGGAGATCTTCCAAACCCACTTGGACGCAGTCCTGTGCCACGTGCTCTAGGTGACCCTGCGTGTGCAGGGGGGTTGGACTAGATGATCTCTAGAGGTCCCTTCCAACCTTAAGCATTCTATGATTCTATTTAATCCATCTTCTTTTATAACGTGAAACAATTTAACTCTAAACTAGCCTTTAAAATTTAGGAATTTGTACTATAGCCGAAAGCAGAAAATAAAATTCATTGTTTTTTTTGTTTTGTTTATCCTATTTGCAGCTTGCGTCTGGTATTTACAGTTTTGCATGTTCCTTGTGGAATCATCA